CGGGGAGGCCAGACCCAAAGGTGTCTTCATACATGGACAGGCTGAACAAATATAACGTTGCTGATAAGCAATATTCTGAAGCTGAGAGTTATCAGATGAGGACCAGGAATGAGGATGCTGTTAAGACCCAGAACCCTCCAAAAAATGGAACAGTGGTGTTGTCTAAGCCATATGCTGATAGGGAACAGAATGGTGATTCTGATATATTGAAACATGGCTTAAGAGATACAGGTGAGAAGAGGAAAATATCACATCATGGTGTGGAACAAAACGATGATTTGTCTGATTCCTCAGTGGAATCTCTACCTGGAATGGAGATTTCTCCAGATGATGTTGTCGGTGCTATTGGTCCCAAGCATTTTTGGAAAGCCAGAAGAGCAATTGTCAAGTAAGTATCCAAAACTTTAGTTCATGTTGTTGCTGTTTTACCTATTATTGAATGTCCTGTGTGAGCACATACCATCTTGGTGACCCCTGTATCAGTTAGTGTTTGGCTGACTAAGCCAAACCAGAGGCGGGCGCAGGATTTGGACCATGGGTATTCAAAATTCCAAATGGCAAGAAAAAAAATTTGACAGCCTAAATTATAGTTTTATAACACAGAATTAAGTGGTAGCATCATTGATTAATAAAATTGATCACAACTTGAAAATGTCCAGCTACTAATGATCAACATATCAAAGTGGCAACATGTGAAATAAATAGAGGATAAAATAGCAAAATGGTAACAAAGCTTTCAACTTACAAGCTACAGGACAACTTTCCGATCCTTAATGCTTTGAAAATTGATGTCCTCATCCTTAGCTTGCATGAAGAATTCCCTTTCAGTCAATGTGACCAAGCAACCATTCAAATATTTCTGCCCCATCTTGCTTCTTCTCTTGTTCTTTATCAAATTCATTATAGAAAAGACCCTCTCAACACCAGCAGTTGCAACAGGGAGAACAAGCACCAATTTGAGAAGTTTATAAACAATTTCATACCGAGGAACCTTTCCTTCTTTAACTAGCATCATAGACAACTCTGCTAGACTTCTCAAATTTTTGAAGTTTTCATCATTTCTGACATCATTGATATAGTGGTGCAACTGAAAATGAAGCTGGTTCATTTCTTCAAAATCAAAGTCATGTGGATAGAACCCAGCAAGCTTAACCAAGTTCTCAACATTAAAAGCAGAAAATGAATTGGCTGGACTGAATGATGCCATGCATCTAAGTAGCTCTGTGTTTACCTCATCAAACCTATTATTAAGCTCTTGAACTTGCCTATCAATGACACCCAAAAACATATCAGCATGAAACCGGTGATAATTAATGGCACCTCTGTAGAACTGTTTTGATCTTTGCATAGGAACATACTTCCCATTCATGTCAACAACTTTAACATTGTGCTTCTCACAAAAAGAAGTGACCTTGGTAAGGAATTCTTGCCATCCAGAATCTTGTCTCAAAACATCCAATTCTACCTTTGTGAACTCCAGAAGATCCATTGTCATAAATTCACAAGCATTGGCAAATTGCAATCCCAATTACCAATTTTCCAATTTTACAAACCATAAAAAATGCTCAAGGCTCACCAATTTTACAGAGTGCTCCGGTCCTCCGGCTTGCTGTCCTGTCCCTGCTCGCCTGCTGCCCTGCTCCCGTCCTCACTGCTCCGCTGCCGCCCCTGCTGCCGCCGCCGGCCGCCGCACCCCACTGTTGTGGCCTTGTGGCGCTGCCGGCTGCGCGCGCGGGCCGCCGTGCATGGTGGTCCTGCGGCAAGGGCGCCTCCGCCCTCGCCGGCTCGCCGACCGCCGCCGCCGCCGCCTGCCGTTAGGGTTGCGGTCTTGCGGATGAGGAACAGCAGAGCGTCAGGAGGACATAACGGATGAGGAACGAGCGCCTCAGGAGGACAGGAGATGAGGGGGACTGGGGGAGTCGGCCGACTGGGCCAATTGGGCCGTTTGGCCAGCGGCCCAGCGCGGGGATGGACACAGGGAGTTGGCCTTGGCTGACCTGGGCCAATTGGATTGAATTGCTTTTTATTTTTTGATGCATATACATAGATACACTATATATACAATTTTTTTTGCAAAAATAATGGGTATTCAGTTGCATACACTTGAATACAAGTGGGCCCGCCCCAGGGCCAAACAGTTTATGTCCATCATATCTCTCTAGACTCTGCATCTGCTGCTATCAAACAATTTATCACTGTTTTCAAGCTTTGTTCTTAGAAGGGCAGGCCTGGTGCAGTGGTGAGAGCTGTCTCACTAAGTCACCAGGTCGCGGGTTCGAAGCAGCCTCTTCGCAGATTTGGGGGGGAAGGCTTACCTCGGTTTTTCCCTTCCCCAGATCCCACTCATGTGGGAGCCTCCGGCACTGGGTCTGCCCTTTTCAAGCTTTGTTCTTGCTAACCACAAATGAACCTGTATAGATTAGACATCCTCCCTCTCCCAAATCCTGTTTCATTTCAAATTCACTCTCAACACATGCATTTATGAATTAGGAGCATAACAGAGGTAGAAAAGAAAAGGATGATGCCGATTGGTGTACTTTGTGTGGTGGCATATATTGAATGTCTTTCTTCCTCTTTGTCGGAAATGTGTTTGGAATATTAACTCCCTTTATAAATTTCCTTTTCTTGTTGTTTACACTCGCTTTTCTTTAACTTCCATACAGTCAGCAGAGGGTTTTTGCTGTTCAAGTATTCGAGCTGCATAGGTTGATCAAAGTGAGTCTGCGGCAAATAAATAACTTCTTCGGGCTCATGCTAATGGGCAGGTTAACTTACAGGTGGTTTTAATTTGAAATTTGATTTAACCATTGTTTATGTTGACTTGCAAGCAGGTGCAGAAGTTGATCGCTGCATCTCCACATCTACTTATTGAGGGGGATCCTTGCCTTGGCAAATCCTTGGCGGCAAGTAAGAAAAAGCTGGCTGGAGATGTGGAAAAACAGCTTGAATCAGCTAAAAACAATGATGAGGTGCAACCAACGCAGCAGCAGCAGCAGCTAGAGCACTCAAAAGAGAACACTGAAGCGAACCAGCCTTCACCATCTCAAGATGATGCAGCTGGAGTCCAACATAACAATCAAGCTGCAACAAATGGTGCCGTTAGCAGTAATCCTCCCTCGATGCCTACCCCTTCTGACAACAAACAGAACAGCTGGTGCATTCCTCCACCTCCGAGTCAGTGGCTGGTTCCTGTTATGTCCCCGTCCGAAGGACTTGTCTACAAACCTTATACTGGGCACTGCCCTCCGGCGGGGAGTTTCATGGCGCCCCCGTTTTTTGCCAGCTGTGGTCCTGTAAGCCTCCCGTCCACAGCTGGGGATTTCATGAATTCGGCATATGGCGTTGCTATGCCTCATCAGCCACAGCACATGGGTGTACCTGGTCCTCCACCCATGCCACCGATGTACTTCCCACCTTTTAGCATGCCGGTGATGAACCCTGCAGTGTCAGCCTCTGCAGTTGAGCAAGTGAGCCATGTTGCAGCGTCACAGGGTAATGGCCACATACAGCAGCATACACGGAACTCGTGTAACGCGTCTCACTTGAGGAGCAAAGCGGTGTCAGCCGGCGTTTGGAGAGTCCGTGCATCAAGGGACAGCGAGCTGCAAGGTAGTAGCGCTAGCAGTCCTTTTGACAGGCAGCAAGGTGAAGGGAGGGGTCCTGCGCCACCATTCCCGGTATCTTCAGTTGGAAACGGGCAAGCTCAAGCTCAACCCTCCTCTGGGAGCAGGGAGAATCCGAGCAGAGTCATTAGGGTTGTTCCTCACACTGCACGCACTGCTTCGGAGTCAGCAGCGCGGATTTTCCAGTCAATACAGATGGAGAGGAAACAAAACGACCCCTGACTCAAATCGCACGCTGTATGTTACTTGACCCGTAGAGTTACTATACTTGTTTAGCTGAGAGCCTAGACGACTAGCACTAGCTACTGTATTATTTTTGACCGATAATAGCTGTTATATATGATTGCCGTAAATTGGCAGACCTGATGTTTTGTTCAGTGTAAATATGCGGGGATTCAGGTGTCTGTCAGAATGATGGCCTTTTAATACATCTGTAGCTATGTTGGTTATTATGCTGTATACAGGAAGGGCGGGCGGGCCTGGTGCAAGTGGTAGAGTCTTACCGCTGTAACCGGAAGGTTCTGGGTTCGAGTCGTGGTCTCCTCGCATTGCACAGATGAGGATAAGGCTGGCCACTAACACCATTCTTCTTTCTTTAGACCTCGCACAGAGCGGGAGCTCTCTGCACTGGGTACTCTCTTTTACAAGAACTGGAATTTGTAACCTTGATTGTCCTGTTCGCTTGGCTGATAAGTCGTGGTTGAAAGTACTGTTGACTGATTTGTTGTGAGAGAAAAATATTATTTGTTGGCTGAAAAAGCACTGACTTATAAGCCAAACGAAAAGGCGAATGAATTTTCTACTTCTCTGTTAAGGAAAAACTGGGGTTTATCTTGACCTGCAAAGGTTGTGTTGTAGGTATGCTAAGAAATTCAAACCCGTGTGTTATTTATATACACTGATAATGTCATGGTTCATACCTGTGCCATCTGTTCTCGTGGTGTGTTCGTAGATTGAGAACTCTGCTGACATATGTTAGACGGATGATGACACATGCGTTTTGGTCTATCCTTGATGTCGATTTTGGAGACTCGGGGCCTTTTTCAAGGTATGACCACAAGACTCGTGGGCCCTGTTCGTTTAGCTGAAATTTGAAATTGGTTTTGTCTTTGTTTGCTTATGCTGATTTGTTATTAGAGAAAAATAACGTTCGTTCGCTGAAAAGTAGCGGTGAAGAATAGGACGCCGCCACATGCACTTGTTTGAAATCAAAACATTCAACAAACGTATATACGCACAAGAACTGTAGCAACAAACGTATATCCACAATCTTTGGTGCTGTGCATTCGGTGCAGGTCGATAACAAACGTATATACGCACGCACGACACGTAGAAAAGGTAGGGGCCGGGGAACAAGACAAGGCGACGGTGGTCCGGTCAGTCGGAACGGGCGACGGCGGCGCAGGCCTGGGACGCCACCTTGGCCATGGCGTCCTCCCCGACGCCGGCGTTGCAGATGTTGGCGAAGGCGCGCATGTGCTTCATCCCGTACTGCGTGAGCGGCCCGCAGTGGTGCTCATACGCGCGCGCCATGGACTTAAGGCAGTCCCAGTCGTCGGCCAGGGGCTGCCCCGCCGGCCGCACGGCGCCGAGCACCCGGGGCCCTTCCTCCGACCCGAACAGGAGGCCACCGATGAGCTCCATGCTGCTGTCCACGCGGGACCGGCGGGACATCACCTGCAGCAGCCGCCTCTGGGCCTCCGCCTTCTCGGGCGTCCCCTCCGCCGCCCTGCGGTACCTCTGCCAGAAGTAGACCAGGTCGGCGTCGCGTTGGTTCACTGCCGCGCCGCCCGAGGATGGCCGCAGCCGCAGCAGCGAGTCGTCGGTGGCGTTGTCGTTGGCGGGGTCGGTGCCCATGAACGTGTAGAGGCTCTGCGCGGCTGTAGGTGCCGAGGCTGTAGGTGCCGTGCGCCGACGTCCGGTCCTTCACGATCTCGTACTGCTGCCTCAGCGACTCGGCGCGGCGGTTGTGCGCGTCGCTGTCCTCCATCCACGCGACGCTGTAGAGGTCGCCGAGGCAGGTGTCGAACTCGGGCGGCGGGCCCGGGTCGTCGCCGGGGCAGTAGGTGCCCCAGCTGCTCTCCTCAGCGTTCGCCGCCGTGGTGGCGTACACGGAGATGTTCTTCGGCAGGAGGCCCTCGAAGATGCTCCCGGACTCGCACGCCTCCAGGTAGAACACCAGGCTCCGGTAGCCCCCGCGGCGTGCTTCTTCTTGAGAGCGTCCACCAGGTCCTCGGCGTACAGGTAGTCGTCGGACGGCATGCCGAGCACCCCGGGCCTGCCGTGGTCGCTGTAGTAGACGAAGACGTGGTCGTCCGGCCCGCTGGCGACCACCTTGCCGCTGCCGCCGTCGGTGACTGCGGACTTGTTGCCGAGCAGGACGGCGAGGAAGTTGTTCACGTCCTTGCCCGTGTAGTCCTTGGGGACGCCCGCGTACACGTCGCCGCCGTCTGGGTGGTTGATGATGACGCCCGGCCTCGGGTTGTCGGGGCTGTCGGCGAGGTCGTCGTACATGAAGACGATGATGTTCTCGTCCTTGAGCCCGCCCTTCTTCATGATCTGGTACGCGTGGCACACGTCCGCCTGTCCATGGATGATGGATGCAGCAGGATCAGCTCGAGTCGAGATGGCCAACACACGCAACGCGCACGAATCGCCACATGCAGAGTTGACCACGCACACAGGGGTGATTGCAAGCAAGCATATGCATAATCACCCTGTTTGCTATTGTATCAGCCATGCTTATCAGCCGGCTTATAAGCCACAGAAGCGATCGAGCGATCAGGGTGATGGAATGGATGGAGATTAATTAAACAAAAGAAATTACTATATTACAGTAGTAGTGTGCATGGTATGATTATTACTGTACTTATTATAGGAGTGATTATTAGTTACTAACTGAATTGAATGATTCTTGGAGAATGCAATTGCAACCCCGATGGATAGGAATTGGGGATTGGGAATTGGGAATAGAAAAAAGGGCTGACAAGATGTGCCAACCAGATTCAATTGGCAGCCACGAATCACCAAAATTGACCTGACTTGATTTGATTGCGTATAATAACCAGATTCAGTAGTATTGTTTAGTACAAGTATATGATACTTTGAGTGCGCATAACAGTAGAATCAATCCTTTAACTTTAACTTGCACCAAATTCAAGCCCAGTTACTGATCGATTCTTCTTGTTTGTAAATATCACAATTGGCAAAGCAGGCCATGATCATCGTTCTTTGTTTCAGAAAGAAATAAAATGGCTAATAAAATATAGAAGAAGAAGAAGAGATGGAATTGTTTCAAGCAACGTAAGGATGAATCCAAATCAATCCAATCAAGATTGGCCGTGGGCAATACAAGAAGAAGAATAAGAAGCACCAAATACGCCAGGTCATCATCCATTGATCCAGTAATTGACACTGTAATTTTACCTGATGCCGGTAGTTGTAGTAGCCATTGGAGCCGGCAATGAGGACGGCCCACCTGGTCCCCACCGCCGCGGCATCGTCGTCCTCCGACGCCGACTCCGACGGCAGGCGGAGGAAGTCCTGCCACCGTGTGCCGGCCACTGCGGCGAACAGCACGAGGAGCTGCACGGCAAAGAGAAGGAGGCGACTGCTACTCGCCATGGCTCGCTAGCTAGGTGCAGGTGCTGGTCGGAACGAAAGAAAAAGACGACGGCAATGGAGGCAAACTGCCGGGTCGCGTGGGCGGTGGCATCAACTTGAAGACTATGGAAGGAGACGGCTGCGGCCGGATGCAAGTACTCTCTGCTCCTACCTACTCGTGTAGGGTGGGGAGACCTCCTCCTCTTCTGGGTACAAGTTACAACGCCACAACTCCTCCTCTCCTGTCTCCTCTCTCATATATACCGTGCCATGTCTGCCGCTGTTGTCTTGGTGCTCCACCTAGCCTACCCCTCTCCTCCGATCATGTATCCAAGTCCATCTATATCTATATTTAGTAATTATTAATTAATTATGCCTCATATATTCTAGTCCGTTTTGGAATCAAACTATATCTATCGTGGTTAGACGTGCGGTATTCTAATTTGTATGAGCATATGTCGTGAGTTTGGATCACTGGCGGGAATTCATCATGGCCGTGAATTCGGGTCGCACAACAATATATCTAATTCAGCACGTACTACTACCCTTAGTAAAATCGGTTATGACTCTTATGTTCTAGAGTGTAGAGAGACACGATGACAGTGAGAGACGGAGCGATGAACGAAAAAAAGGAAGAATATAGATTCCAACTCCAACTCCTTTAGCTTTGGTTAGTCAACCATCAAGCCAAGATGAAAAAAAAAATTACTAGCAGTGGTGTTAAAGTACACTTGGTTTTGCTCGTGTTTATAATGCTTTTTTTTTGCTCATATGCATACAAATTATTTAGTTTAAAACCGAATAAGATACAAATAACTCTAAAGAGAACTGGTACTAGTTTTATACTTTTTTTATCTAAAATAAATAAATTGATTATAAATATTTAGAGATCAGATCAGTTTTTTTATTATTCTTAAAAAATAGAAAAACTACCTTTGTATAATCCATCAAAGGACTAAATTTATCTGGTTTTCCATGGCTGGAGCGAGTCCGCTATCCAGTTTCATTGTTCAAGGTTGAAAGTCAGACCGCCGTTCAACTTAGAGGAATAGAGGGTTGAAAAATATACTTTACCTTTTTTATATTGTTTATTAAGGTACAAAAAATTAAAGATACATATCTGCAGTTAAAGTGGAGCATTGGAGACCGTGGATGTACTTACATCCATCTGCGCATATGCATCCTACAAGCCGTGTTTTGTGTCACACTCTTGTTTAAAACTCCTGCATACCCCAATCGGCTGTTGCGTGCAGCTACCGTGAATGGTCTGGCGTGCTGCGTAATCTCAAGTGACAGCGAGTGCCATGATCCATCACTTAGTCGTTAACATTGCGCATGCTTAGCAAACGATCGCTACTTGCTCGTCGCCAAATCAAATCAACAAGCGTACCATGTATGTAATGGTATCCATCTGAATCGGGCAGATAGTCGGTGTCAGTGGGAATCGTTGCATTCGAATTTAAATCGCAGCACTTCTATAAAAAAGGAGAATTTAAGCGCCACTCACCACAATTCTGATAAGTCTTCACTTCACTTTTTTCGCCTTCTCTTCACCCTTCACAGAAGCAAAGAATCTCCCTCTTCCAAAGGTTCAAGGTATCCCATCCTTGTTACGGGCTGCAATTTTTTTTCCGGAATATTGGGCACAGCACAAACCATACGACCCACTGCAGCAAAACATACAGTATAATAACAAAGAAAGACAGAACAAGCAGAAGCTGATGCTTCCAATTCCAATTAGGATGGCCTGCACCAACACAGGAAGTTACATTACAGCAGCGATGCATCACCAACACCAGAAGCAGATTTCCAAACAAGATAGGCAGGGGGACAATCATCAGCCTACACTAATTTATTTGCTTCCACCGTCAGATCATGTGCTCCACAGACCATCAAATGTTTTTTTTTTTTAATGATGAGCGGTGCCTCAGCACAGTCCTTCCTTCTACTGCCTCTCTACTGTGAGTGAAGTGTGATGTGGCTCACAACCACATGATACATCATCACCTACCACCAATGCTCCAAGTGATAGGCCACACTAAGCATTTCCCAATGCTATTATGGCATGGGCGCATGGCCACAAAAAGCAAGTGGTGAACATGCAGCAACACCTAGCTACCAAGTATTCCTCACCTCCTCCTCAGCTGGGAAGCAGCCCCGCACCCAGCTACGGCATTCTCATTAACTGAGAAGCTCAGCGCCTCGTTGATCCTGCTGAAAACAACTCGGAGCGGGATGCACGCAATGGTTGCGCCCGACACTTTCCCCACCGCCGACTTCCTGTCATTGCCATCTCTCTGGCCTGAAGCAAAAGAGGAAAGCCTCCGCATCTTTCTCGACGAGGATGCTGGCTTTTTGGTATGCGGCTGCCATAACTTGTCCACTTCTTTCTCAGATGGCCTTCTGCTGCGGCTTTTGGGTTTTGGCTGGGATGTCTGTGCTGATGATGGCACAACACGTTGCAAACCCTCAGTTTCATCCTTCTTCAATACTATTCCATTCACACTGCTTGTAGAAGGCTGCTGGACATCTTTCCTTGATAGAGGACGGTCAAACACATCATCAGTGACCTCCACGGAGACTGGATACCCCACAACGGGTTTACGATTCCACCTACTCATTAGAGAAACAAGGGGCACACGGCGCCCCGAGTTGCTGCTACCCAGCACACTCAACTCCACATCATAAAGGGTGGGATTCAAATGCAGTGTCTTGATTGGCTTCACTGCATGACATCTTTCATGACCCAGCGGTTTCTTTTCGGGCGGCAATACCTGCAGTGGCTTCTCAAACACCAGAGATGATATGGAACCACTCTCACAGTTTGAATGGTTGCTTAAGGTTTCTAATGACTCTTCAGGATCACACTTGCTTTTACAGCGTCGCTGCTGAACTCCACCAACACAATCCATACCACTAGGAACTACGGCAATATGCCATTTTAGTATCATGTTCAGTGGGCTTGTTCAAAGAATGCTTCTCCAGCCTTTTCTCCAAAAGGACAATCTCATCTCTTGCTGCTTTGTGCTTTCCTGTCTTTGTTTTGTGGTGGTCACGATCATTAGAATCTCTTGCCCTGTTCTTGCCCTCCTGATCAACAGAACTTATGGTTCTAATCTTAATATTTTCGCGTGCACGTTTCTCAGCTTTGCGGACGTCATTAGCTTGCTTATGGGGTTTCCAGGTAGGATTCTTTGTCAATCCACAAGGTTGATATCTATGCAAATGATCTGGTGAAAATCACTTGGTCAGTATTGCACCCTTTAGAGGTTCAGAAACAGGAAGAAAACATCACATATGGCAGGAAGTCAAAAGATAATATGTCAAATTACCACAGTGCATCTAAGCTAAGATCACGTCCAACCTAACATCAGTTTTGTATACTGACCAATAAATGTACAGTTAACTCTGTTAAGCTTCCTATAAAAGCTGGGTTTACCTCTGACAACACCCCCCCCCCCCAAATAAATGTACTATTCCATAAAAAAAAGTCAATCCAGTTGCATAAGTAACCTTATGTGGAATTCTAAAATAAATAATAAAACCTCTGTAGTTCCCAACAGATATATATATAAAAAAAAACCACGATCAGCAGAGAGCAGTATGATCAAGGTGATCAATCAATCAACATTAAAAAGGGCAACTGCAGGAAGGCCTGATGGTCTCCCTGATTTCTCTGTACTGAGCTGTGGATTTTTTTTTTGAGTTTTCGAGCTGCGGAATTTTGGACACAAGAAAATAGCCATATTGTCATCATGACACCTTAACAAAACAAACAGGCTAGAGGTAGCAGCAACAGAGATAACAAAACTAGCAGTGCTATCTAAGTATAAATGCTGTGCATCTTCCAGAATCTGTTGAAGTTAAACATAAACAAGCGTCACCAACGCTCATGCATCTAGATAGCCAACATAAATGATGATTGCCATTGCTAGAAGACATGGTACTGCAATCAAAGAAATCACTACCCAAAAATACAAAGTAGCAGAGCAGGTTTACCTGGTTCCACGATATTTTGTGCAGCAGGGGGAGTTTCGACAAAATCATTCCCATGCCGGGAATCATCACTGAGTAGCCTTGTCATGCAGGATATTTCTGTGCCCTTTGCTTGATCTGTTTTGAATGCTGCGCTGCGATGACAGCTGTTCGTGTCCAATGGAGTATCCAAGGTTGAAGTGCCAGAGGAGCTGCTTGAACATGTAGCGACACCTAACAAATGTTCATCGGCCTTCTGGCCATTTGGTCTGGAACCATTCCACATGTCTCCATTGCAGAGCTCCGCGAGCGGACGAGACCTGTCCTTCTTCCTGGGGATCCCGCAAGGTTGGTCCTGATGCGCAGCAGCATGCTTCCTCTTTGTGGTGGCTTGAGAGTGCACAATTCTTTTGACCTGTCCATCATTAGGCAGATCATCATACTTGGGAGCAGAGATTGCGGCAGAATGGGGCAAGTCCATTGGGGGGGCCGTCTTGGATCCGATGTCCCTGAGATCCCTCATGCGGCGGGACCCTTTGGGCGCATCGTCCTCGGAGTCATAGGGCGTCTTGCGCTTCCTCTTGGGTGGCGGCGGTGGCGGCGGCAGGGGGAGCGGCAACGGTGGCGGCGGCAGCAGGGGCAGCGGCGGTGACAGCTGAATGGCTGGAGAAGCATCCTTAGCTGCAGCATCTTTGACTTGCCCGTTGGGCATTTCAATTTTGGTACTGGGAGAGCAGCTGCCAGCATGGAGGTAAGCCTTGGTTGCCGGGCCGAGAGTGCGCTCCTTCTCTATGTCGAGGGCCTGGAGAATGGCGTCCTCCATGCGGGCGTACCTGCCCTTGTTATAGCTCCAGGTGGACCTGTTGCCGGTGGCGGCAAGGGTGAGGGCGTTGGTGATGCGCTGCTCGAAGTCGAGCTCCCCGCAGCGGAAGGGCTTGACGCGCTTGCACCTGTCGAGGTTACACCAGTCGCTGTGGCAAGCGCAAACAAGTGTTCGTTAGACTTAGAGTAGCTGGCTGCCCCAATTCTATGCCTTGAGGATTGAGCAGGAGATTGACTGACTCAACTGACTGACATGGTGTGACATCTTGCCAGTAATAGTAAGTGGCAGTAATAGTACGGACGGAAGGAAGAAGCAGCATACACATAGGTTGGTCCGTCGGGGCGGCGGCCGAGGAGCATGATGGGTGTGGCGGGGCAGCGCGGCGGCGGGGCGCAGCCTTCGGGGACGTCTTGCGGCGAGATGACGATGCTGGGCCACCAGGAGCCGTTGGGGCGGCGCAGCCAGACCAGGGTCCCCTCCACGGAGACATCCACCGCCGGGGCCCCCTCCTTGGGCAGACCCCCCATCTGCGGTGGCGCTGGCGCTGGCGCTGGCGCTCCAATTCCAATCCCCTCCTCCTCCTCCTCTCCGGCAATCTGATCTCCCCGCCTGGGAAGGGGGAGGGACTGCGGCGGCGCGGAGGGCACAGGCCGCGGGCTCCGCTCCCCCCGTGGTGGCGTGAGGCGAGGCGGAGCAGTGGGGCAGTCGCGGAAGGGGAAGAAGGGGAGAGGAGAGTGCTCGTCTCTCTACTCTCGACTGGAGTACACCGTACTAGGGAAGAAAGGAGAGGAGGAGGAGCACGAGACGAAAGAGGCCGAGGCCACAAGGGAGGGTCATGGGCTGTATTTAGATGGGCCTATAAAGCCCACGTAGGTCCGGGCCCATTAGAATCGACCGCGGCGGGCCGGGCGCGATCGGGACCCTTGTTTGTGGGGATTATATATAAATGAAGTGCTCGGACGAGGTGATTCGTTGCGTCTTCAGTTTGGCCCCAAATCGACAAATCGTGGAGCGGAAACCCTAGTCCCCCGCCGCAGCCGGTACCCAACCCTATCCCGTCCGCCGCCGCCCGTCGCCTCCTCCCCCACCCCAAAACCCAGAACCTCTAATCCTAATAATTCTTTCTGTGCAGTCGCCGCCCCAATCCCCCACCGACTTCACCCGCTCCGCTCGACAGATCCATACATGTGAGTAGTAGATTCTCCTTTTCTTCCCCCTTAGCGGTTGTTTGAATTTCGAGTGCTGGGTGCGTGCGAATCGCGAGATCTGGGCTTCTAGGGTTTGCGGCGCTGACGTTTTCCGTTCCGCCTCTTCTGCGCAGGATGGTAGAGGCCAAGGAGAACGACGTCTACGAAGAGGAGCTCCTGGACTACGAGGAGGACGATGACAAGACGGTCGATGGCTCCGCCGGTAAGCCCACCGGAGAGGTCGCGAAGAAGTAAGCCTTCTTCCCCTACTGTTTGATTTCTCTAACCTCTCTCTCTGGTCTCTGCTACTTGGATTCGATCTGATTCCCAACTATGCTAACACGTTAATTGCGTTAAATAACAAATCAGGGGCTACGTCGGGATCCACAGTTCCGGTTTCAGAGACTTCCTGCTCAAGCCAGAGCTGCTTCGTGCTATCCAGGATTGCGGTTTTGAGCATCCTTCCGAAGGCAAGCTTCTCCTTTCCATCTATTCTTTTCACCGTTGACTAATGTGCGCCTGCTAGTGGATACTGCAAAGTGGCTGCGAACTCATGATTCATTATCATCCCTAATTGTCAAGATGATTAACGACTGAAATTCTACAAATATGCAATAAGACGGTGATCTTGGGCCTTGTTTAGTTCCCAACCAAATTCTCAAAAAGTGCTGCAGTAGCCATCACATCGAATCCTGCGATACGTGCATGGAGCATTAAATGTAGACGAAAAAAAACTAATTGCATAGTTTGGTGGGAAATTGCGAGACGAACGTTTTGAGCCTAATTAGTCCATGATTGAACACTAATTGCCAAATAAAAACGAAAGTGCTGCAGTAGCCAAATTCCCAAAATTCGCGAAGTAAACACAGTCTTGTATATCATACCGTGGTTACTGGTTTACTTCCTAAAACAAAGCGGCACAGTATAAATATAGCAGCAAATTAGTTCTTCCATAATATGACTTGATGTTAGGAGGCTCAATTCGTGTGGAGTGGTTTGGATTCTGTACAAGACATCTGAATAGCAAGTCATGCTGTATTTTAGTTATATAAGGAGGCAACTTCTAGTTTTTGTACGCTTCGGGTATTTCCAATGTTATGGTTTTGCTCTGCAGTGTTGGAATCTTGTTAGACATATATCCAATTCCAGTGGGATTATTGCTGTTACATAACCAAAAAAGGTTCTTGCAACTAATAAATGCAGCCAAAGTAAAAAAAAAAAAACTACTTTTGAAAAGGTTCCCAGACGACAATGCAATATTTATTGTCCAGTTGACTCTCTCCAATCATGATGTACTTGTACATCGATGTCCAAGTAATTTAACATGTCATAAAGCTGCTTTGTTAACTAGATATGTTACTATATAAAAATTAATGGCCAAAGATATGTTTTGAAAGCTCTCTAAAATGGTATTTTGTGCCAGGCACTTTTAGCACATTGCTGTAACACTTGTTGGGTGCTCTGCTGGGCTTCAATGTTTATCATTCGTTTTCACCGTGTAGTTTGTAACATTCTTGTCTTGTTGGTGTGCAGGTACACTTTCTTCTTTGGAGCAGAACATGGTAACACTTTCCATTAACACGGATCCAGAACTTTTACTCACTGGGGTGCTGCTCCAATTTCTTTTGGTTCCACATCAGTGCAACACGAGTGCATCCCTCAAGCCATTCTTGGAATGGATGTCATCTGTCAAGCTAAATCTGGGATGGGAAAAACTGCTGTTTTTGTCCTTTCATCCCTCCAACAAATTGACCCTGTTGCGGGTCAGGTAGCAGCACTTGTACTGTGCCACACTAGGGAACTGGCTTACCAGGTTGGTACTTGCAGAATATGTTTCCATCAGTTTTCTTGATGAATCTGTGTCAGATTTTGATTATTTGCTCCACTTATCTTTCTGTAGATATGTCATGAATTTGAGAGGTTCAGCAAATATCTCCCTGAAGTTAAAATTGCTGTCTTCTATGGAGGTGTTCACATCAGGAAGCATAAAGATTTGTTGAAGAATGAATGCCCTCATATTGTGGTCGGCACGCCTGGAAGGATACTTGCTCTTGCCAGGGATAAGGATCTCTCCTTGAAGAATGTGAGGCACTTCATTCTTGATGAATGTGACAAGATGCTCGAATCACTTGGTAATACTCTATCTCCTATTTTGTCAACATGTTTTAAGTACTGTATAAAAATTGGTGTCCTTTTTCCTGATGGTGTCCTTGACAAATATATGTATCATGCAGACATGCGGAAAGATGTTCAGGAGATTTTCAAAATGACTCCTCATGATAAGCAAGTCATGATGTTTTCAGCAACGCTCAGCAAGGAGATCCGTCCTGTATGCAAGAAATTTATGCAAGATGTAATGTCCTGCAGCCTTCTCCAGCTCTCCTTTCCAAAGTCGTCATATTTAATTCCTCCTGTGGTGGTCCTCCTGTAGCTGTTAGTCATTTACCAGCATTGGAGTTGTAGTTTAGTCGTCTGCTCTCTCTAGGCGAAAGGATTCTATTCCTCCATGTCTCCATTTGTAGTACATATTCCAGTCATGCCCTTTCCTTTTTCATTGTCCACACCTGTACAATAGAAGGTGGAGAGGGAGGGGTGTCTGCCCAAATGGTGAATTATTGGCAATGTGTTGGCAACTGGGGGCAGATAAAGGGTTGCCTTCTGTCTTGAAGATGCAGTCTCGAGCTCCTGGTCGACATCTCCAGTTTGCTGCACACTCCATGTTCACTTGGTTTCACTTAATTGGACTTCACTGATGCTGGCTATCCAACTATCTTGTGCTGGTGGAAAAAGAATTCTTTTGCTGGAGTTGTATTTGGAAGCACTGTTGCAAAACTCAAGCAAATTTGGAGAGATTCTAGTGTCCAACAGTGCATAATTGAACTTCTATATGGAGGCTGCATGTACACTGACAGAGGGGTTTATATACCATTCTTTTGGTATATATCTGCAAGATTGACGCTGGAATGCTAATTTCTTTAATCTATCATTTGTTCCCTTACAGCCGATGGAAATATATGTTGATGATGAGGCAAAGTTGACCCTCCATGGTCTTGTACAGGTAACCCAGGAATTCTCTTCTCTTGAGTCATGGCACATCTATTTTTATTGGCTTTATCTAAATAATTGGAATCATATATTTTGCAGCACTATATAAAACTTAGCGAGGCTGAGAAGAACCGGAAACTGAATGATCTCTTGGACGCTCTTGATTTCAACCAAGTTGTGATATTTGTGAAGAGTGTTAGCAGAGCTGCCGAACTGAATAAGTTGCTTTGTGAGTGCAACTTCCCATCAATCAGCATTCATTCTGGAATGACCCAGGAAGAAAGGTAATCGCTCGAACTCATGCTGCAGTTCATTTCGTTTTTAGTTGTTTGTGTGTTTGCCAGTGGAAATGAAGTTGAATGGGTATTAATGTTCCATTCTTCTGGTCTTTGGTGTGCAATTATTCATCTTTGCAACCAAATCCTTCATGGCAGGCTTTGTAATTGTTGGTGTACTACATACTTATTGATGGGTGTTGCTTGGCTGGTTGCACTTGCTCCCTCCATTGCAGGCTTTGTTATCCAATTTCCTAAGTTTCGTTTATCGGTGTACTATGCACTTTATTTATATATAGGTATTGCTTGGCTGCTTGCACTTGCTGGTTGATGATTGATTGTGCCGATAATGTATATATCTGTTTTGTCATTAAGATCGTATGATGGCTAGTTAGGTAATAATTATGCAATTTTGATGGCATGTATTGTATTGTTGTGGTCTTGTTCTTTGTACTATTAAGTGAATTAATTATAGTGTATAAAAATAGCTTTTGTGTTGTTTTCCAACTCATGCATTATATCTGCCATGTACTTATTTGTGAATTGATGTTTTTGGTTGGCAGGCTAACCAGATATAAGAACTTTAAGGAAGGCCACAAGAGAATTCTTGTGGCTACAGATTTAGTTGGCAGGGGCATTGACATTGAGCGTGTCAACATTGTGATAAACTATGACATGCCAGACTCAGCTGATACTTATTTGCACAGGGTAACTTTGATGTGCCCTGCTATTAACTTTAGTGAGGTCGAAATATTTTGTGTATGCTGATGGTAGTGCTCCTAATGCTCCTTGCAGGTTGGAAGGGCTGGCCGTTTTGGCACAAAGGGACTTGCAATTACCTTTGTTTCCTCTGCTTCGGATTCTGACGTTCTTAACCAAGTAAGTTTCCGTGTGCTCAAACTTTTTTTTTCGTCCATTGCAGTAACTTGGCCTAACAATGGTATACAACCTTTGGAAGGTGCAAGAAAGGTTTGAGGTAGACATAAAGGAACTGCCTGAGCAAATTGACACTTCCACCTACAGTAAGTGGTGCTTCTTTGTCTTGATTGAATATCTCCGCAGTTATCTTTGTGTTTTGTAATGTGGCCTTACATGCTTCTTGTATTGTGATTGTCAGTGCCATCGTAAGTGGAAGACTCGCCATTGCCGCAATGCATTCTCACAGTGCTTCAACTGAGAAGGATAGAGCAGGATAGTGAGTCCGCTGTCTGGGGATGGTTACTTTTGGAACTATGCGATCTGGAGGATTTGTTTTGCCTCCTTTGTACCTTAAAAAAGGCAGTCAGGATGATGATCTGTATTTTGAGACAATGCTGTCTGTTTGGGTCCTGTAGGCCTACCTAAATTGTGCTGTTCTGTTATGTTTAGGATTTTGCTTTGTCAAAAATTAATTCACTTATTGTACGACTAAGCTGCATATTTGTTGTTTTTTTATCTGTGTTCCGCGGTGGTTAAACTTATTTGCTGGGTTAAATGATGTGTGGAGACCCTATTTGCTGGGGTCTTGCTGTCGTTCGGCTGCAGGTCTACAGCGTGACTCACCAAAAAGTTAATGTGTACCCCCAGTCGTATCTTGCAGTGGCAGTAGTACCATGTACTCCTCGGGTACAGATTGTTAAAAATTCCAGTGACATATTGTCATGGGGTTTGGCCTTTTCTTAAAAAAAAATTGAAGTCAGAAGTTGCCATTTACTCGCCTAAACTAGGGTACAGAATCAAGGTAAAAAATTTCAGTGGTAGTCATGCGATTGGGCCATGAGACCTTCAAGTCATGCATGTTAATACGGGAATCTATGAATTGAAGCATGTCATAGTGTTTTCGCTGTTGATCTTTCATTTCAGGTGTATTTGTTGTTCTTTCATCTACCATATATTTCTACCATATATACCCTTATTTCTGTATACCATTTTTTGAGTCCACAGCAAGCCACGTCACCCTTATTTCCTGCCCATCCGATTCAGTATCGATGGCCAGCAGATTAGCGTCTCGGGAACCTTCCACGGCGTTCCCGACCCATCCAACCCCCACGCTGCTACGGGGCCGACAAAATCCCCCATCCGCCGTGCCCACGGCCATCCTCTCCTATCAAGGGTTCTTCGCTCCCGAACCTTCTCCTCCTGTCTCTTGATTTTTTTGTTTTTTAGTCCTTTTTTGAAAATTTTTTATAAATATACCCCTGGAAGTATGATTTCAAAATATGGACTCTTAGCTCGGCGCCATAGATTCTGGCGCCTAGGTCTTGGGCTCGACGCAGACGTGTCGGTGACTTGTCTGGCGCTGAGCTTGGCGCCGTAGATCTTGGCGCCGAGCTTGGCGCCAATATCTATGGCGTCAAGGTGGTGTTTTAACCCGGCCTCCAACCTTTCTGCCCGAGCTTTTTTCCTCTTCTTTCTCCTTTCTCTCGGGTTTTTTCTCTCTCCCACTTCGTCCTACCTCACGAATCGGCATATTGGACCTTAGAAACTTTGATTTGATCCGTAAATCTTCGAGAGCAAGGTATCATCGCTCCCCTCCTATTTTTTTCTCATCGATTCGGTATATATTAGTCGGATTTTTCAACCTAAGAATCGTCATTACTTAGGGTTTCATGCAATTTTTAATATTTGTATTATACAACCGTAGGATGCCAAGACGTGGAAAAGCTAGCAAACCAAGGTAACCTCAGCGCATGTTGTTATGTTATGGATTCATTATTGTGCATCAAATGGGAAACCCTAGGTTTATGGTTTAATGTTAATTGCTTTCGGTTCTTAAAACGAAAATGGCTAAATTGTAGTTATAGTCGGATGACCGGAAATGCCTTTGACCCATTGCCTCTGCCTAGTGGTGTTCCAGTGCCCATGTACTTTTGCGGCGATCCTTGCAAGGTAGCCAAGTCCGATGAAGAGGACACGTATAGGCAGAGGTATTGGATGTGTTCCAATTTTGCGTTTGAGCCTACACTTCGTCAGCGCCGCATTAACAAGATGGTGAGGAATTAATGTTTGTGTCATATGACATCTTGCATGATTTTTTTTGTTTTGTAACAATTGTATTTTTTACAAACCCCTCCACCGCTCTGTGATTTTGAGCAGTGGATCGACACTGAGATCAAACCTGAAGACAAAGAATAGATGCAAAAACTGTTACGGTGGGAGGTAGAGGACAAGGAGATGATGGAGAAGAGACATGGAGAGGAGGCTGCAAAAAAGGAGCACAAGAAAGAGGAGGAAAGGAGGCGTGTTGCTGCGTACATGGAGGAGAGGGAGAAGAAGCTTGAGCGTGCACGCCGAGTGAAAGCAGCGATGGAGGAGGATCCCAATGCCCTGAGGAAGGGAAAGTGACCCTCATTGCACTCAGTAGTCTCCATTACTTGCTAGTTCTATGGTTTATTCATGAACAATGTTGTCTACTGTCGGCACGTACTTCTAGTATTATTGTGTTGTTTAATATGACATAGTATTGGACTTTTCATTATGTAGTTGTTTTCATTATTTGTGGTCATAATATTTAGTATAATATTACGGATGTAGTGAAATGTGATCACGTGCTGCAAACAAAACCTAACGAAGTAGGCCATTATATAATTCAACACACAAAACACAGGAAATGGCATATGAGAACATATACCGAACTAGGGTACATAGTTCTTTCGACTAAACCTAACATGCCTTAGGTAATTAAACCAAACAACAAACACATGGATGTGTCATGTGAATAAGATAGGATCGTCCTAGTAGTGTGACCACATAGCAAATTGTATTGCACCTTCTCCACAGTAGCCTCCCATTGTTGGTGGTGGTGGTGGGGGGTGACGGCGAAGGCCCCTTATTCTTGTGGTTAGGGTAGATGCAATATGGAGCATTGCAAAGTGCCTCCTGTGAATCGGCACCATTGTTGTTGTCGTCCTGTTCGTCGTCCTTGTAACCGCTGCTAACTTTCCTTTCTAGATCGAAGATATGGTCCTGCAGGTAGTAGATGTACTCCGTATGCTGATAAATAGGTTGAAGATCGACCCACCTAGTGAACCCATAGTTTTCTTTGGCCAAGGAAGACTGCAATAAGTATGTCATGTAAGTTGTATATAAGAGGAACATATTGAAGGAACAAATAGTAATAGCAATTACGCATGCTCGCGGGCATTTGAAGAAACGACAACCTTCATCTATTCCCTCGGTGAACATCTGCACTAGGCAGTCCTCACCATATATGCATTTTGGCCACTCTTCTTTCCGTTCATCGTATCCTCTCAGTGGTGCTTCTTTGGTGAAATCACTTTTACTCTCAACTGGGAACCTCTCATAAAGAGCTTCCTCAAAGAAATCGGAACCAATAGAACCCTCCCACACAATGGTACTTCCCTTCCCCTTTTCTCTCTCTCTGGACGACCCTCCAGACATTGGTATTGCAACGAAAGAAAATACTAGTTGGATAGTAAGTAGCAATGCATCCAGCATTGCGTATATATAGGTAGAGGCAGGTTTAGTTGCCGTTTTAATGTGTTATAACTGGTCACAAGAAGCCTAATTAGTTTCACTGAAGAGCCTATTTCAATGGACACTGAAAAGCCTAGATTCGTTTCCTGAAAAGTCTATTCATCGTTGACATGATAAATCACTGAAAAGCCTAGATGTTATAGGTGTACCATGTAAGTAAAGTGATAAATCGTTGTTGTCATCGTACTCCTCGTCCTTATAACTGAAAAGTCTATTTTCATTGTCTGAAAAGCCTAGATTCGTTCACTGTTACTAAAAAGCCTAGATGCTATAGGTGTACTATGTAAGTGAAGTGATAAATCGCTGGTGTCATCGTACTCCTCGTCCTTGTAACTGAAAAATCTATTTTCATTGTCTGAAAAAGCCTAGATTCGTTCACTGTTACTGAAAAGCCTAGATTCATCTACAAAGTGTCTGTACGATACGATTGGACTATACACGTTCTAATGAATTTACATTTAATCTGTGTACTACATTTGTGCCTTTTTAGCAGTGTAGTATAATTAATGATTCACGAAAAAAAATTCACAAGAGTTTCCCTTATTTTAGGAGCATCCACAGTTACAAACAGAAACATCATTATATAATCCAAACATTTAATCATCCAAAGAGCACAATACAACCACATCGAACATCACAATCAACATAACATGTCGTGTATAGTCCAAATAGTCCACAATGTCCATACAGTCCCAAGTAGTTATAGGAAAGTAACTACAAAATCCATAATAGTACATACTAACATCTACCACAAACCCTCACTGCCTCCTAGTCTTACCCTTACCCTTGTGACCAAGAGCGCTAATACCTGGAGTGTAAGGGTCAGGTGGACGACGTCGCCTAGTACATGAAGGCTATGTAGGCTGAGTCGAGGGAGCGTCCTGGAGTTGAGACGGGCCAAGCTCCTCGTGCCTCTGGTCCACGTCGTCGTCGTCCTTGTCCTTGTCCTCGTCCTCGTCCCCTGTAGGTGCTTGGCTAGAGGAACCTAAGCCTCCTCTGCCTACGGAAGGAACGTACATGTCTTGCGTCGTGGCTGTCCTATAACCACATCGAGCAGCCGCACGGCGTAGCCGACATGACAGCCTCTGTTGTACAAAATTATGTTAACTGAAAGAATCTAATGTATTAATAATATGTTTGAAAGAATATTTTGAATCTTACGTCTAGGAAGCTACGCGTGTTGTCGTCCCTGACTCTCAGACGAAAGCGCTCAATGTCTGGAGCATTTGAGGGTATTGCCCTGCAACAAAGTTCTCAGTAATAATACTTCTCAACAGATAGCAACAGGTTTTGTTTTCTTTTGTACAAGAATCTAACGTATTATAAGGATGCTACGGCTCGAAGGTGCCACTAACTAAAATAGATACCTCTAACGCATAATGTATTGGTATGCAACTTAACGTAGAAAAATAAGGCAATTAACTTACCACTCTGTCTAAGATTGGTCCTGCCTCCACCTGCCTTCGTGCACGAGTAGATTGGTCGTACGTCGTGTCTTCATCGTCAGAGGACTCGATGTCGGCGTAGCCATCTTCTGTCCATTGTAGCCTCAGCCTGCAACGTGTCGCACGTTGGTACCAAGCTTGGTAGCACCTGAACTCATGGTTCATGTGTGGCTCGTTGTTCTCATCCACATTGTCGTGCAACAGCTCCCATTGCTCAATGTAGTACTAGTGGTGCTTCTCCCAGGCAAAAATCTTTTTGTTCTTCTGACGATCCAACCTGCACGTATGTCATCATTACTTGAATCAATGTACATGTCACCATATTAATGGAAATGGACCATCACGAGATAATTGAAATAGCAAAACACTTACTTGTGTAAGTCAACGCTAGTCGAGAACGGAGCCATTGGCCAAAACTGTCTCACTCCAAATTGGCGTGGAACTCTATCTGGCAGGTGGAACTCGACAGCATAGATATAGATTAGAGGGCACCTCATCCTATAGAAGTTGTCGTCGCACCCACACATGTTGCTCAACTGAAAAGGAAGTGTCCCCTCTCCATCATACGGCCCCCACGACACCTGCAACATGTCCAAACAAGATGTTATATGCATACTAAACCATTTCAAACCAGCATGGGAAATAAAATTTACTTACACTAGACGCCGTGACCGTGTCTAGCTCGTTCGTGAACTCAATGTACGCCCACTGTAACCTCGCGTGCGGAACCCTAACCTGGTC